GTTTCCTGCCTGAGCAGGGGGTTGGACTAGATGACCTCCAAGGTCCCTTCCAACTTTACTACTATTATTATTATTATTATTAAAATCTTAACACAGATTCCTTCATTGTGTGGCTATTTGCACAATTCATTGCTTTGAGAAATCTAGAATTTAATTTGGTTTCTTTTCCCAATTATTCCTTAAACCAAGGGCAGGTAGCTTCTTCATTCCAGGAGAACCTGAGACTCATTTTTCAGCTCTAAAAATTAAGAACAATTAATTCATATTTTGGATTCCTTATGAGCAGCATTATGTTTTTTTTTATCAGCCACTAGGAGGAGTAGTTCAATAGTAGTATACAAAAACAATTGATTACATAGAGATGCTCAATGCAAGGGCAGCTTTGTTCTGGATTATCTGAAAAATGTGAGAGCCTAAGCAGATCTGCTATTTAACATATCTTTGTAATTAACATGCAGAGAGATGTGATTTGACACAATCGGTAGCAACTGCTTGAATTATTATAATTAGTGCAACTGAAGGAACCATGGTTTTAGTTGCTTAACTGCTTTTTAACCTCATTTAATCTTTTCCCTATTTTTTAAATAAATGTTTTATTCCTTAATTGTTAATCACTCCAAATCACCTGGTGGATTAAAGTTTACATACAGCCACTTAATTAGGAGGTGAGGAATTAATTTTGTTTAGGAGCAAGGAGCACATATTTTGCCCAGTAAATAACCACAAGTATCCTTCACATCCAAACATCCATACAATATACATACTGCAAGAAAATGTCACAATAGCAATTCTGTATACCTCATGCATAGAACAGGAACATGTGTAAATACTTTGTACTAACAAAATATTTGTAATTGCTTGAAGGAGAGATTAATTCTTGCTATTAAAAAGTAATAGCAAGAAATTGAAATGTCCTTAAGAGGGCTCCCTAAGATGCATAAAGTGCTTCGTAAGCCATAAGCTCCTAACATGAAGATTGCAGTTTTGTAAATACGTCATTTATTTCAGTTAGATTAGCATGCAGTTCGACAGGTTATAGTCACTCATCTAAGAGGACTAATATTTAGCTCAAGTTAATTACTAGAGCAGAATATTAAGAAAAGAATACTTTAATTTTTTTAAATCTGAAATGCATGTTCACTCAATGAAATTGTAAATTTGAAACAAATTGGAAGAAGTGCTTCTATTTCATAATGATTAATACATGGATTTCAACACTACAAAATAAGAATTGCTGGTTTTAGTAGCTTTATTAAATAATATCATAAACAATAGCATGGAAAATTAGCTATCAAGTTATTAGCAGTACTGGCTAAAGGAAACTTTAACTGTTACAGGAACATTTCAGTGAATACAATACCGAAGTAGCAACAGCATACGAAGTTTATTACTATCACACTTATTTGTGGGCTTTTTGGAGATATCCAGATATATCTGGATAGCCATAAAATTCTGCAAAGGAATTTTACCTCTAAGGATTCCATAATTGAAATAGGAGATAAATGAGCACAATACGAAAGTTGGAACACTGATTTTGTTTACAACAATTTAATGCTGGCAAATACCAATTCCCTCCCCCATATAGAGAAAAAAATTCAAATTTAGCTTTTGTGCTCATTTTGATTTCCTGTGCTGCATGTGCCATTTGTGGATTCACACTTTGTGATGGACTTGAGGGAGGGCCCTAAAGAGACCCAAATTTAGAGTCTTTACACTGCAGTAAGTGGCACAGACTGGACTGTTCCCTGATTCTTTGAAGCCTTATGTTGCTGGTCTGAAGAGAAAGCAGCCAGTCTGGCAAGATTTTTGTTACATAGTTTATTTAACTACCTCATAGTTCCCTTCGTCCGGTTAGATCCCACAGGCTGGGCCTCCTTCAGGTCCCGTCAGCCAAGCAGTGCCATTTGGCGGGGCTGCGGGGGAGGGCTTTCTCTGTGATGGCGCCCACGTGTTAGAATCAGCTCCCCCCGGAGATTAGGACCGCTCCCACCCTGTTGGTTTTCTGCAAGCTGCTTAAGACCTGGCTTTTCCAGCAGGCCTGGGGTTTATAAAATCTGACCCCTGGATGAATGTTATTGTATTGTTTGTTTGTTAAGTTATGTTGTGTTTTTATTGTAAACCGCCCAGATTCCTGCGGGAGTGGGGCGGTCTATAAATTTTAATAAATAAATAAATAAATAAAATAAATTAGAAATAAAACTACTGTTGAGACTTGTCATGAATGATTTTGGTTGCTTTTGCCTAATATAATTCCTGAACAGTGAAATACCACCCAAAATATTTGAAACATTTAACCCATTTTATCTTTTGTTTCATTTTGGACACATTAGGTTGACCAATCCCAATGGGATAAGACAGTTCCTCAAATACCCTGCTATAAAGAGCTTTAAAGGTGATTACCAACACCTTGAATTGCACCCAGAAGTAAACTAGCAGCCAATGCATCTCGCAGAGCTTTGTTACACAGGCCGTTCTTGGGGCTCTAAGAACTGCCTGCTGCTACACTCTGAACCAGTGTAACTTCTGAATGCTCTTCAAGAATAGCCCTATGTAGAGCACATTACAATAGTCCAACCATCAGATGATATATTCCAGGATTTGGAATAGAGATAGATTCTGTTGGGTTTTCAAAGAAAGTTATCTAGCTTGATTTATGGCAACTGCCCTAGCTCCTCACATCTGACAAATTATACTTTCTGGTCTATGGTCTTATCTACCAAGATAACTTTTAGCAGTTCCTCTGGGTACAGCAGAGATATTTAAAAGCTAATTCCACTAATTCTGCATCCAGCTGACACAGTTCTTTTTTGGGGTCATAGGTATCTATAATAACCACTGATGAAATCATAGGGGTCAAATGTTTTGAGACATTTGACACTATACTTGCTAGTCTCATTCAGATGATGAAGGAATCCTAAGAAATTTTCTGTTAAGTTTATTTCAAACACACAGGATAAAGAAAATTGCATAAATAATTTTATGTATTTTCTAATGGTGCCTGGAATGGCAATGACTACAAATAATGGCACTTGATGGTCAAAGAATTATTGAAGCACTAATAGATGCACAGAGGGAATGGTGGCCGTTATCTCAGTATAGTTATGCTGGGGGAGACATCAAAAAAACTTTATACCTACTAATTCTTTGCAAGCTACAGTAACTTAAGAGAATCTAATTTAAGGCAAAGAAACACCCTTTTTATTTTTGGATAACTGATAAATGAAAATGAAACCTCAATTTCACTAAGTAGGCAAAAATTAGTGAATTTCTTTTCATTAAAATAAATTCTTTTCATTAAAATAAATTTTGATATTTTACTGCTATAAGATGTTTTTTTTAATTTTATAAAGTTGTAAAGTTCTATCATTGCTATATTGGATAGTCTTAATTACTTAAAGTAGTATAGGTATTCCTTGTATTATGATGGCAATTGGGACTGGGATTGTCATTGCTAAGTGATGCAGTTGTAAACTGTAATGTCACATGACCACATTGCTTAGTTGCCATTATAAACTTGGCTGCCATTGTAAAAGACACACAGATTGTTAAGTGGCCCTGGGAGGCCCAAGTGCAGGTCACATACAAGTTGGGGGAGAACGTGCTTTGATGCACAGGAAAGCTGAGGGAAGGAGGGCACAGGTTTGTATGAGTGCAGGAAGGCTGAGGGAAGTAGTACATAGTATGGTGTGAGCACATGGGAGTACAGGGAGGGTGAGGGAAGGAGGATGCAGCATGGTATGCAGGAAAGCTGGGGGTGGGGGGCTTACCAGAGTGACTTGTGACTTTCCCTGCCAGCGTTCCCATTGACTTTGCTTGTGGGAAGCTGGCAGAAAAGATTATAAATGGAAGTCACCTTAACATGGAACATGGCAACTGTTGTAAATGCGAGCCAGTTGCCAACCCTGCAAATAATGAACATGTGACCATGGGAGAGATGCAGTGGCTGGAACCTCAAGGACTGATCATAAGTACTCTTCATTCAACAAACTCACAACACTGAATGGTTGCTGAACAACTGGTCAGTAAGGAAGGACTACCTGTATATTCCTTGGGCTAATGGAGAATAAGGAAAATGGCCTTGATGATAATGTGCAAGAAACATTAATTAGGCAAAATAGGCTGAAGTGCTTTTTAAGTCCACAGAAAGGAGAAAATATTCAAAAGCAGCTCAGAAACTTACCACCCTGATTCACTGGAGTAAAAGAAGAGGGAGGAAATCAGGAGAATCAAACTTGCAAAATTCTGTTATTATAGCCAATCTCAATAACAGCAGTATTAGGTGGTCTCCTATTTCGGCTGACCATTAAGTTTATTCTTGGAGAAGGGAGGTCTCAGTATCACAAAATTTTTGAAGAGCTCCCTGTGTATATCTAAGTTCATTAACAGACTACTTTGGTTTAGAAAATATAGAATTTGGTCTAGTCTTGAAAATGATAGATGATAGCAACAAATAATGAATGTCAAAAAAGAGGGACAGGGAGATCTTCTTTGGAGATAAATGAAGAGCTACACTTGGAGAAACTGCCATGGTTTATATCAGCAACCTTATCTTTCATTTTCCTATAGTTAATTTTGTACATTTCTATATCCATGGTTTTTTCTTCTTGGAACTGAAGTGAGTATAGAGCTACATTGATGCTTCATAAATAGTATTAAAAAATCTATACAACTACGTATCGATCTCATTTTATGGGATACAATATAATAGTGGGCATATGTGTGCCAATGTATGGCCTTTCTGTCTGCACAAATCAAGATGGGCTGAGAATGGAAAGAACAAACAAGTAATTGAGTTCAGCTACTAATAATTGAGTAGTCAGTTGAATTAGTGCACAGATGGAAACAGTTATAAAAAGAGACAGGTGACTTCAAGAAGGTGTTGCTTTGCTCCAAAAGTGTTTGAATAATACATAAAGGAACCTTGTGGTCTCGTTAGCTTCCCTGAATCTGCTTATTATTATTATGTAATGTATTTTGTGTCCAGAAGAGCAGAAGCTTACCTCATATATATCTTTCATCCAGTGTGAAATTCCTTGAAAGCTTTTTGCATCTGTGATATCATAAACAAGAACAAATCCATGTGCTCCTCGAAAAAAATTAGTAGTAAAGGTATGAAATCTTTCCTGGCCAGCTGTATCCCTAAAATACATTATAATAGATAATTTAGCACTAGTTTTCACTGCAGAAATGTGGACAAAGAGCCACATGTAATCGGGGCAATTCTAAATCTTAGGCCTTCTAAACAAGAGATTTGTTCCAGAGCAGACGCTTTTCAAAACTGGAACTATGGCTATAGAAAATATTCTTAATCTGAAGACTTGCTCTATGAAGTAAAGTTTCTTTACACCCAGTTTATAGCCTATTCTGAATACACCAGAACCAGTCTGGTGCTGTGGTTAAGGCACCAGACTATAATTTGGGAGGCCATGAGATCTAATCCCACTCTGAGGCATGAAGCCACCTGGGTGACCTTGGGCCAGTTATCTCAGCCTAGGAAGGAGACAATGGCAAATCACTCCCAAAATCTTGCCAAGAAAGCTCCAGGGCGTCATCCAGGTAGTCATCAGGAGCTACACATTAGGTTTGTAAATATAAATATCCTGATTTATACATCAAGAATCTCCATATATTCAAGGAAGACATGAGTGAAATGTAAATGGTTGTTATGGGGAAATGTCCATCCAGTAGGATAGACCAGACTAAGAAATGGACATTGTTAGGCCTAAAATTACTTTTTTTAGAACAATAGTTAATGTGTGTGGGGGTACTTCTCTGAGTTGTTTTCATAAATCTTTTTCTTGGTTTGGCTTAACCCACAGATATTTGCAGATCTTGCCTGTGCTGATCAAGGGTATCCTCTAGATCAGGGGTATAAAACTGGTGGCCCGTAGGCCAAATATGTCATACGCAGGCCATGCCTACCCTGGCTCCGCAAAGGCAAAAAAATCATACGTCACAATAGTTCATGTGATGCAATCAAATTTGATACCTGTGCTCTAAATTCTTTACATGTGAAGCCCACAAATATTTTTAGATGTAAGATGATGCCAAAGACTGGTGTTTTGTGATGTGCCAAAGTTCTGCATGAAATTATTTTTTTAAATGTTCACAAATTCAGGAATTCAGATGTTCTGGAGGATCTGGAAGACAACAGTGGAGCTGTTCACAAGGACATTTGATACCTAACTGGAACATTAGCAACCTTAATCCATTGGTTAGCATGCATTTGAAAACAACAATATATTCATTGTTTTTTCTCTGCTAAAGGTAGCTATTTATGATCAACTCTTAGAAGACCAAAACTAATTATATTTCTTATAAAACTTACCATATTTGAAGTTTCATAGTTGTGTTATCACATGAAATTGTTTTCACTTTAAAATCAATGCCTAAGAAGAAAAACAAATGTATTAATGTAACTATTAATAAAAAAATCAAAAGACAGAGAAAAAATATAATCTTATCTAGGGGAGTACACAGTAAAAGAGCAATTTTCACATAAATGGAAACTCCCCAGCTATATTTTCCCATTGAGAAATCATCTCATCCTCAGAAACATTCTGCAGCACACTATTTAACTAAATTAAATTATCTTTTTGCATTTAATGCATATTTAGAAGTCTGGTTTAGTTTAAGTTCAACAAGTAATCATTTTATTAAAACTTCAGTTCCAGAAAGATAACATAAAAATGAAAATGATTATCTAAGTCTAATACATTGATATTTCTGTACTGTAAGATCTATAAAAAATAAAAAATAAAGTGTGCCCTTATTGTAGGGAGCCAGTTGCATAAATTAATGTTTGAATTTCTTTTGATCAATAGCTGAGGCAGCATATAAAAGGGCACAATAAAAACAGGAAGGTCATTGGTTGGAAATGCTTAAAAAATATTAAGTCAACAGGGGATTTCCAGTCCTACAGAAAACATTTTATATTGACATACATTTTAATAATAAATTGACATGAGATTTTTATTTATATAAGACAGCTAAAGTGCTGAATCAGACAAAAATTTAATCTAAATTAAAATAAGGCATATTGACTTCTTAAATCAACTTTACATTTATTGACCTACAGGGCCAATGAATGTTAGTGAAAAACAGAAGTCAATAAGCATTGCATGCATGAGTTATTCATAGCTTTATATAAAATTTTAAACAAATTTCACAAATGGACAAGGTTGAAATAGGGAAAAAGAGAAAGAAATAAGAGTACCAGTTGTATCACCAATAGTACTCAGCAATCCAATTGCATGGCTGTAAAAAGTTAAATCTATCGTAATGTATTTTCCCTAATTTTCATCCTGCCTTTTAAAAGTTATTATAAATATGGTACACAACAATCCAAACCTAATTCTAAGAGGCACACCTAGATTCCTTCAACACCTGAAACAGTAAATGAGAGAGTAAAGAAGAAGACTTCAACATCTTATTCCTTCCAGTATGGATGAATTATCACTATGTTTCTCAACCTTAGCAACTTGAAGACAGATGGACTTCAATTCCTGATTGCCAAGGTTGAAAAACACTGAATTATCAGTTAGGATTGAGACCTTGAAAAAGAATAATAAATGGCACACTGTATCCTCAGTTCCTAAGCAAAATATTCCAGAATATTTTGGGTAGCTACTAAACTGGAGATGAAACTGCAGAGAATTTAAGAGGGCTGTTCTAATCCATCTCCACATTTTTGCTAGTCCCTTTCTAAGCTAAGTCGGTCATGACTAACTTGCATGCTACCAGGCTTTTTAAAAAAGATGGGATTTTTGTAATAGAACTGGCTGTTTGGAAGATTCTTAACTTCTAAGAAGTCAATAATAAGCAGCTTCCCAAAGTAATTAAGAGAGGAAGTGGAACTGGAAATCGCTATTTTACAATCTCTTTGCAGGGAAATTCTGTATGGAGCAAACTTGTGGGCGACCCTTGTTGTCCTCTTGATCCAAAGAGGAATTTTGAGGAGCCAATCCATTCACCGGATCCTATTTTCACCAATCTGCCATTGCTGCTCTCGGAAGTCCAAACAGTTATACATTTCTCAATAACATATGTTGTTTAAGTGTATGTTCATCTCTGAGTAGATGAAAAGATGTAATGGAATGTAGGAAAGACCTTGGGGAAAGAGACGCTGCCTTGGAAACAATTAGACAAAGAGAAGCAAGAGCTGCCAGTGGCTTAATAGTCAGAGAAAGAAACACAGGAAGAACCTGCCCTAATGCATCAAGTGGTTTAAAATGGTGGCAGGAAATTTAGCTTTCACTTTCAAGATTCTATCAATCTAGCCTTGCAACAAAATAAAATTAGTTTGTCTTGTCATGTTTCCTATCTGGTTTGCCTTGGAGGACTGACATTTGAGACATTATTAATAAGTATGTAATTATCTGAAAATTCTAGGAGGAAAAAACAATGTAAGAATGCATTTCAGTATTGCCACAAAGCAATTGAAAGAATGTTCATGAAAACAGATGAAGATACATGATGCAACCACCATATTGAGGAAGGGCCATATTTGGCCAGTATTTAGATGAGAGCCCGTGCGATGTATGTGTGTGTGTGTGTATGTGTGCCTCTACTTTGACAGCAAAGATGAAAGAAAGGATCCTGTTGGCCCATAATTCCTCTGCAGAAAATAAGTTTTACCTCTAAAGAGTTCTAAAAACTCAGTACTTTCTTGAATATACTTCCTAATACAATATTCATTGCAAGAAAATATGTCACAGAATATTTCAAAAATTTATCTGGCGAAGCATCTCCTTGTTCACTTGGACATGCAAATCTTTCTTGCCATAAACTTTTTCCCTGGTGTTCAATGAGGTGCCATTGTTTAAACAAAAAACAGTTATTCTTTATAGTCTGCTATTCTCAATGTGATGAGTCTGCCTTATGATCCGTATAAGTTTAATTAGAAAACTATAGCTGCTTATAATTCACAAAAACTGTATAATTGAAGAGGAAGAAGGGCAACCATCCCTGAGAGTTTAAGTGCTGAATAAAGTGCTTTCAATGAAAATTTACTGTGAATGCTTTTTTGTTTTTTTAAGGAAAGCAAATCTTGAACAACTAAACACACTACCCACAGCTGCAACCTCCAATATTGCTAGCAAATTAGCAACATGCAATTATAACACTGGAATTGTGAGCAGGAGTTGAAGTGCCCCAAACTATGAGAAACAGGCATTTAAGCACCAAGAAATGACATTTTATCATATTATCTTACTCACTGTATTTCTTTGTCTCTAAGCTAAGTGAGGGAACTCCCATTTCTTTCAGAGAGGAAATTCTAGGGGGAGATGAGAGAGGACTTTGACATTAAAAGTCCTCTTTTTTTGAAATCTGATCTGACATTTTCATAGTTACTTTTTAAAAAATTGACACTGAGCTCTTGCTACAAAGTTGTGTAGTATTATAAAACTCCACAACTATATTTTTAATTTGTAATTTATAGTTGGAAAACATAAAACACTAGCTAGGCACAAATAGCCCCTCTTATCTTTAAACATTTCAAATATGTAGAGAAATAAAAACTACATTAGCCTATCTATACAACTGGATACTTAGCTACTTAGTATGCAGTACTGCAGACTAACTCACTACTCACTCCAGGAGTTCGATTCTCACTGGCTCAAGGTTGACTCATCCTTCCATCCTTCCGGGGTTGGTAAAATGAGGACCCAGATTGTTGGAGGCAATATGCTGACTCTGTAAACTTCTTAGAAAGGGCTGTAAAGCACTATGGAGCGTTATATAAGTCTAAGTGTTATTACTATTATGTATTATAGATGGCATCTGAATTGCACCCCACCCTTTGGCAAGATCCAATTCAAGTATGAATTGCAATTGTATGGCTATCGCACCCATTGCCACTTCCCATTCCTAATAGCTCTTCTATATAATCTACCGACCGTGGGTGAGCAATGCTTCACCAGTCACATTGAGAGAGTTTTAATGATGATATCACCATCAAATCACTCTTATCCTGGTGTGGAGGCAGCCTGCAATCATGTCTTCTCACTCCATTTCAAATATTTTCAGTCTTGCCTAGGCTGAACCTCCTCATGCAGTTTCTCTGCTGCATTTTAAGTTCCTACTGATCACTGGGTAGATTTGCCAGCATATCCTCTTTTTTCTGGTCAGTGGTTACTGCCATCAATAACCAATTACAGGACATCCATCTAAGAAACAGACCATTCCAACTTCTGAATCACACTATGCTTCTCCCTCGGGCATTATGTGGATTCCTTCTGTATCTCTAATAAGTTGTACTCTGAAACACCAGTTCATTGATGCTTAACCATTGTTGCAACAGTTAGGGGGCAGCAATAGAGTCATGTGACTCTCCCCTGCTCCTATTCCCAAAACAGCTTCACTGGTGGGCCACTAAAATGGAGAACTTTCCCTTATTTTTTAAAAAGGGAGAAACTGATAAGAGTTTTAGTTCTAACCTAATATAGTAAGAATAGTAAAGCAGTGTGTTCCACAGATGGAAAGTGTCAAGTATTAGGGAGTGGAGGAGGGTTCATATAAAAGTTCTGACAATGGAAACCACATGCCTTCAATATGGTACTTGTTCTCTTAGCATGGTTAGGAAAGATGGCTAAAGAAGCAGGGAAATAACACCAGTTGGGTATAACGCACAAGTACCTTTAGTACTTCATTGTCAAAGCTGAAGAACGACAACTACTTTTTAAGCTGGATTATTTCCAACCGATTTTACCATGGGGTCAGTAATTAAGGCTGCTGTGCAGGAGAGTCCTGAGACTGGTAGCCACTGTCCATTTTTCAGATAGGGAGCAAAAGAGCAAGGTATTACACTTTATTACCTATAAAGTTATTTGCAAGAAGGGAAAAACAGAATGAGAGACAATAGACATAAACCATATTTCCTGGTAAAAGAATCACAGCTTGAGCTGCAGTCTCAGTAATTTTTTTCATTCTTTTGAAGGACAGAAATTAGGCAAAAGTCACAATAATAAATTATACTTTTAAAATCACAATCCAGCTTTGACATGGATCCTGATGCCATGTTGATGTGAGCACAACAATCACACCAGCAACTGTTCCACTATGTACAGTACATTCTATAACTTGGTTGTGAATTGCTGTGTAGCCAATGTAAGCAACCAGTCTGCAGATTTTCACCTACGTACACTGTTTTAGATATGCCCTAGCTAGAAAACAATTTGTAAGAGGATTTTAAAGCTAGTCACATACTGTAATAGGCCTTTTAAACATCAAGTCTAGCTGAACAGCCTAAATCAGTCCAAAGCATGCACAAAGCTGCTGTATCTAAAACCTTCAAGAATTAGCTTTAGATGATACCGCCACATGATTTATTTATAGTACGTTATGAATCTTATCTATTTTAACACTGAAATGATTGCTCAAGTATAAACATTTTGGTCATATTAAATGAAAATTCTGCTTGTTTATGTCCCTTTATTTCAAATCTAAAAGTAACTCATTTTATTATATTTTGTATATCTATATCTATTTCACAGGTAATTGTTTTGGTCATGCATCAAAAGAATCTTGAAAAAGCTATGCAATCAAAAGAAATGGAGCAATAGAGGCAAACAGGTAAGTTGAATCAGTGGGTTGTTGAGGCAAGATTTTTTGGGGGGGAAAGGTCAGGGTCATGCTCAACATAATAACTCAACATTTCAAAAATCACAGACTCCTCTTGCTGTGTTATAGGACAATTCCTCCCACACAGCTTATCCAATAGTACAGCAGGTGCTGCAAGAAGAGAATATGCTCTTCCGCTCAGAATGGCCCAGGAGTGATTAATCCTCTATGCCTTGGCTGGATTTTGAAATCAAATACAAGAGAGCATGTATTGCCCTCAGCGAACTATATCAAGATAAACTATCAGAATATTTTGCAGAGTTTAGCTATGGCAGAAATATTTGCCCAAGGTAAAAACATGGTTGGAAAGAAGTGAAGCTGTTTTTTCCATTTCAATTGCAGTAATGACTTTCCATGACTGAGTAGTTTGCTGTTCCTATATGCCAAAAGAAGGACAATTAAAACTTGAAGGCAGATTCTCATGTATTATGAGAATATTCAGTTTAGATACTGCTACTTCTCTATCTTGCTGAGATCCTTTGATTCACAGGTTCCGAATCACTTTTCCATCAGAATGATGCCCATTACATCTAATCAAACTATGTTCCCTTTTACACTGAGACAGATGATGCGCCCACGTTTCCATAATGCTAAGATACTTCCAGAGAGCTTTGAAAGTTGAGCTGATTAACTTTTAGCTCAGTTGCTACTCCAGAGGTTATTCTGGAAAAAAAGCTATATTTATTCTGCATATAATGTGGATTATTTCATATTGATGGGCATTCTACAAGGGCAATTCGGAAATAAACCTCCATTTGGTTATCAATGACAGATACTCGCAGATACAGAATTTTTATTATGCACATTAGAAAACTCCAACATTACAAGACTTTTCGACATGATCACCATTCAAATTGAGGCACTTGTCATAATGTCTTACAAGGTTTGAAATTCCTTAGTAGTAGTCGCTTGGCGCCAAATCTAGGCTATGGGGGGTGTTCAAAAACATCCAAAAGAACTGCTTCAAAGGTTCTTGGGTGCATCTAGTGGTGTGCAGGGGAGCATTATCATGAAGCAACACCACACCGGAAGTGGTGCCATAGAAAATCCTGCCAAATATGAAGATGCCAAAGGAGTACTGCTAGTGAAGTTCATGGAGCATGGTTTGACCATCAATCCAGAAGTCTACTGTGAAATGTTACGAAAACTCAGACGAGCCATCCATAACAAGCATCGGGGCATGCTGACTTCCGGTGTGGTGTTGATTCACAATAATGCTCGCCCGCACACCAAAAATCAAAGATTTTTCCTTCCCCACATATGCAACCCTACAATCTAAATATTATGCATGAGATTTTTCTGCAATCAAGCAAATTGGCTTTTTAATTAATAACAGGAATTTATTCAACCCAAACTGAATGTGAACTTGCTGAAGTATTATTGTTCGATGTTATCATGCATACAGATTACAAATTATCATGCCATTGCAAAAGTTTGTGAACTGTCATATGATCCTTCTTTTCAAAAAATGTCATTGGCACAATTAGTTCTTCCTTAAAGCTAGAATATTTGATAACTTTATTTTTGTACATACTATTTTGTGTTGAGAACCTTGCTTTCCAACTCCAAAGATGAATTTTTAAATTCTAATTGAGAATTGGTCTGAAGAACTTTCAGTTCTGATAATTCAAGACTAAGCATTATGGAAAAGAAAATAAAGAAAAATTAATTTAATTTGGATTTTTTTTTAAAAAAAATTCTCCTACTGTGAATCTTTTGTTGAATTTTCATCCATGCACAAAACCTTCTTTCTTCTTTGATGTATTTCCCTCTACTTTGATACATACTTTATTTTATTCAAAATAGAGACATACAAAAGGATTTTGCATTCAAAAAGTTCTGATCTCAAAATATGTTTTGCCCTACCTCTGCTGAAAAATTGAATCAGGGCAATAATAATAACAACAGTGCTTTGGTACAGTATAGGTACAGAGAAATTTAAATAATATTTGTGGTAATATTATTTTAATTACATCTAAAATAAATAAACTGAAAATACTTTTGTCCCAGCTTAAAGTGTGGCTCTAGCACATTAACTAACTACTACAGTCTTTTGTCTGAAAACAAAACTAGCCCTCTCCTGTGGCAGAGGCATCCCACAATCTTAGAATCCAAAACTGATATTCTTCCACCTTCCAAGTACAATATTGACATATTTGTTATTCTCTTAAAAATATCAATAAAATATTTTCCCAAAAATATGAATTGCTAAATTGTTATGTGTATATGAAAATAAAATATGTGTGTGTACAACCACATTCTATAAATAATTTAAAAAACATTGTATTGATTTATTTGGGAAAGGAGAATACTCTAAACATTTGTTTTGTACTAATACGGCAGCTGTGTTGTAAAGCCTATGCTTAATTTGTCCACATATAATCTTTTTACCTGGTGGCTTTTAATATGCATTTTCTGAAATTCAAGTCAAATACATGAGAAGCCACTTAAGCTAAATCAGTTTATTTTTTCTATTAATCTGTTTTCTGCCAGGATAACTACACGAATATCTCTACAAATGTACAGCCTGGTTTTCAATAAATCTCTTCTCTTTCACAAAACCAACTGCCAGTGAGTTCCTTTCTAGAATCAATGATCTGGTGAGAGCTGCTTTAACAGTAAACTTCCAGATGGGGTTGACTATAAAGAGCAGATCTTCATTAGCATATTTAAATTTGATTGACAGAACCTAGTCTTAATTCATCTATCTCCCATAAAGATTCTGAAACTTTTATTCAGTTTGACAACCAAATGGAAATCAATGGGACTGAAGAATGCTTAGAGAAATAGTATAATTTATATGTGAATGAATTGTTTTATTTATAGTATATGTCCATGCCATTACAGAAATCAAAGAGATTCCATGTATGTTCACATAAACATGCATAAAGAATTTTTAAACTTCATGGTCACAATGAAGCACAGAATTGGACTTGCATAATCAATTTAACAAACATAACCTATTCAGGGTTGGATTATAGTCAATAGATACAATTAAATCTCTCATACTATTAAGATAGGCAATAGATTTCCCATGTCAATTATAACCTTATCTGTAAGCAAGGATAATTGCACTTACCAGTGTTTATCCACTACCTTTCCTTCTTCAGCTATCACTATCAGAATGTTCAGTGTATTGTCTTTAAAGACAGGACCATGGATTTTTTTGCGGATGAAACCCTTAAAATACCAAGTAATTTCCTAGTTTAGAACAACTCACCAACACGGGGATACATAACACATATAGAAAATAGACTGATCATGCCTTTGCCCTGCTTAAATAATTTAGAGTTTCAGTTTCAACATAGGAAACAGGAAGAAGAAAATGTGCTTGCCTCACAATATAGACTTATGCTTAGTTCAAACATAACTATGACTTTATTCACATGAAATGTTAAGTTGTAAAATTCAGTTAATAGAATATCATACCACTAAACTCCCTCTACATCCATATTTACCCGTCCCCACTTGTATGTGGCATCCCTACTTTTGAGCAGATCTGAAATGGAATTTGAAACCTAGGATAAAGCTTGGGGACAAAGTCTTGAGTTTGGAACTCAAAGGTGACATGCATTTCACTACGGATATGATAAACCAGAGACTTTACTTAAAAGGCTAGGTTTATGTAATAATGGTAATCTATGCTTGTTAACAGAAATTTATAGCTTAACATATCCTGAAAACGTAGTCCATATGTTATACACAACAAAAGCAACTGACCCTAGGCTTTTAGTTTTTATCTGAAAAAACTAAAAAACTAAAATCTGTGAGCTATGTCCACAGGATGTATTTCATTATGATTTGCATATTTAGCTGAATTTGTATACCTTTAAGTCCAAAATATCTCATTCTAGTTTAGAGTTTTATACACAGAGTCACAGATTACTAACTAGGAGGAGGTATCCTTATTCAGACCTTGGTTCTCTCTTCCTTAATGATTGCAATTTACTTTCAGATAAAGTTAGAAGAGTGCAGAAGAACAAAGTTATATCCAAGGCAACAGAGGAAAGATTTTGTTTTTGTTTATTATGTACGCATAGTGGTGAAAGGGGTATCTTCTTACTAATGATACAAGAGGGGTTCTGTTATATTGCTGCGACAATATAACAGCAATGGGAATACTCTTTATATTTGCCTGGGGACTGGGTAATGCTGGAAGATGTTTTAAGTCACTAGTGGAAAATGCCCCACAAGCGAAGTCATGGTTTCCTTAACATCCAGAACTAAGTCATAAACCATGATTTACAAGCCACAGTGTCTGGGTTCCTACATTAACTCAAACCCAGACTGACAGAATATCAAGTTAGATACATAAATCTTAGTATGGTTTACTGTACTGTGTGTGAGGTGCAAAGGTTTCAAGTGCAAATTGTTAAATCTCACACTTTGGAGACATTGACAGAATATAACCGTATCTCGCTGAATGAAATCTCAGCGACTACCGGCGTTTAGTTTATAATTAACCAGGAAATAAAGCGGGCGGGACGTGGCGGGTACGCCCTTCGATTTCGCTGGCTAAATTAACCCAGGTTCGCATGCTCAAAGGAAATACGGGGCTAAGCTCGCCCAGTGTAATTTCGCCCAGCGTCTTGGGCATACCAGGCACAGGAAACGGGCGACGTCGGGGCGCGTTTATTACTCACCGACGGTGGTGATATAGGAAGGCGGCAGCCCCCGGGCAGTGGGGCAAAGGTCGGTGTATCGCCTCAGGACGGAGGTTTTCCCCACGAAGGAGTCACCCACCATCACTATCTTGGCCAAGCATGCCTTGGGCGCCTCGCAGCCTGTCCCCTCAGCCATGGCGCACCAGCAATAGGCAGGCGTCGATCAAAGCTGGCTTAGCTGGAGTCGCTGGATAGGAGGTCTTCCTATTGCGTTGGCGCAATTGGTGCCCAGAGCGTCGTCCCCGTGTTGGCAGTTACTGCTTCTCTTCCGTCGCTGAGCTTCGCTCTCGTCTCAGAGTTTGGGTTTTAAGGGCTGTTCCGGTTTCCGAGGCGCCTCTTTTGTCTAAATGCTCTGAGGGCAAGGTGACGAAGTTCCTTCCCTTTTCTGTTCAACGGGCGCCTTTTCCCAGCAGAACATTTTGAAGAGCAGCTGCAGGTTGGTCATTCAACAAAGTCCACCGGAGAAGTTCCTTCACCCCTTCTATTGGGGAGCTGCAGGAACTGGTTGATTGTGATAGAGCTCTAATTATAAGCACGTGAGACCTGCCAGGAAGAAGAACAGGGCGCGATTATCCTTTTTGATTGGTACTAGTTGCTTGGCATCACCAAATCTGGGCTGGCTTTCCCAGTCTGATGGTCTGAGATGCATTGGAGCTTCAAGGAGACTAAGTGCACTGATTTTATTGAAATATAGCAAAGTTAATGAAAGATGAATATTCCTGTATATCACCTTTAATTATCCTGACCACCAGGACCTCCTCCTCTCCTCCTCTCCTCCTCCGTCATGGTAGGGAAACACTATATAGCCTAGGCCTTTTTTTTATTTTCATTCAATGTGCCAACTGATCTTGTTGAAGAAATTCTTAAAAATGAATCTATATGAGAATAATCAGCATTTTTTAAAAAATCAAATATTTATGTTGTGTTTTGCCAAAGGAATAACAGCTACAAAGGGACTAACACAATATAATTAATCTAACACAAATATTTATTTAAACAGTGGCACTGATAAAACATAGAACATCTCAATTTTAAAATTTCGTAACAGCACTAGTATAGAAAGTCAGTTGCCTTGGCACACATCTTAAAAATGGGTTTGAGAGCAGAATGGGGAAAAACAAATCCTTCCCTCAAAAAAGCAACCTTCAGATCCTAATTCTTCCATAGATTGGAACTGAATACAAAGGGGCAGAGCATAAAAGACCTTGCAGGGCAGGAAAAAGATGCTACTAGTCAGTCAGCAGTTGCTAATTTAAAGTTGTGTAAATCTTTTTTTCCTACCAAGGAACTGACTGCACTAAGTGAGAAGAATCTGAAAAAGGTAACTGAGGGAGCTAGGGAGAGAGAGCTGCTGGTGGGAAACTTGAAATTGTCTGCTCACAATTATGGGGGTTGGAAAATAGATGAGGCAATTAATTATATGGAATAAATGAACTGAAGGGGCAGGAATGAATTGGAAAGAAGAGGCCAGCTATAAGCCTGGAGAAGCTTCAAAGCAGGTCATCAAGGGTTGGCCTTTTCCGTTTGTCACTTAAACATGGGATTAGAAGTACAGGCTCTGTGTGTGAAAACTCCATTTAATTCAGGAGCTGTGGTTGAATCTTCAGCTGCACATAATAATTTGTTGCTCAAAGAAAAATAGTTATACAATACAGCTGAATTTTTTTTTTTATGTATGTGTAAATGGGAAAAACTTCATGGATACATAGCAATAGCACTTAGACTTATATACCGCTTCATAGTGCTTTACAGCTCTCTCTAAGCAATTTACAAAGTTAGCATATTGGCCCCAACAATCTAGGTTTTCATTTTACAAACCTTGGAGGGATGGAAAGCTGAATCAACCTTGAGCCAGTTAAGATTGAAGGAATCAAACTCTAGGCAGATTTAGTCTGCAGGGCTGATACATATCATGGCTTGGCTATAAATATTACATTATTTTGTATGTAGTGAATGTGGTAACTCCCAAGTCAATTTCTTCCAACCATTAATTTGTAAGGTTAATTACAAAGGCCAGAGGATATAGATTTATCTGATTAGGATCATGGTCCTGGAGAAGAGGCACATTTTAGGTCTCTCTTATACTTATTACTTACCATCATCATAATCTGTTCAGCAACCAAAGTTTGTTTGAGTCACCTTTGAGTCCTGATAACATACACATAGTAATCAATTTTCTTGGAAAAGAATATAGAATTGGGTTTGTGACTGCCTTCTGGGATGTTCTGACTTTCCACCGTAGTCTACAGCCCTGCTACTTCCTGGTGATCCCACACCCAAGTGCTAACTAGATGTGATTTTGCTTAGCTTTTTCAGGTCACTCAAGGATAGGTATGGGCTGCTACCTAACAGGGCAGAGAAACTTCTGTCTGAAGGACTCTGAAGTCCTTATCCAATCATAAGAAGAGATCAATAACTTAACTTAAACTGCACTAAATAAGATTTAGAAATGTATCAATAAATTAATACTTACTGAAAGCATCTTCACATTTTTACTTATTAATTTTTATTAAAATCTATTGGAAAGAGTCTTTTGAATAAATAAAATCTAGAGTCAGTAGATGTGAAGTTGTACACTGGAAGTTCCTAGTACAACTAATCAAATGGCAACAGCTATTATTTTCTTCCTCAATAAATGTGCCTATTCTTTGGTGGGAAAAAGAGCTAAAAATATGGAAGAAATTATTGAAGAAACACTGGAGGAGAATAAGTGGAAGAAAACTTCAAGGCTTTCATCAAATTCTGTGAATTACTATTGGCTGAGATATCTCTTGGTGGTAAAAAAAAATGGGAAAAACATATCAAGAAGCAGAGAACAGGAACAATATTTCAAGCAGGAACTAAATGGATTATCTACTACCTTTAATATAGTAATGTACAGTTCCAGTTATGAGTTCTATTTGCATTATTATTTAGTCAGATGTCAGATACAAACTTGCTTAATTTTAAAAGTACAACTGATGTATGTTTATAATAGTCCCTCACTTAAAATTATTACCCTTTGTTTCATTTTATTCATATTCCTACCCACAAGAGGACACTCTTTCCATTTTTCTTCAACAAATATTAAAACAAAAGGTTTCATAATATATTAGTCTTTCTAGATCCTTCCTCCTAAGTCCAATGCTTTTGATAGCTATAGTTCTGATACAATTTGTCAGAGTCAGTAGTTTAACTCACATTTTAATGTGAACTTAGCAAATTTCAGACTTTCAGACCAATATTTGAATTAAAATGTGATTTCTCCTGTTTTGCACATTTCTTATAAAAATGTGTGTGCAGTCATCTACATATTGGTGCATAGAAATGCTTCTATGTATGAAAATATATACAAAAATGCAACATATTGGGAAAAAGTACTAACAAACATGTATAAAGAGAAACATTGTAGACAAATAACTTAAAAGGACTACCAAAAAATATGAAATGCAGTAGCAAGGTGCTAGTCAGTTCAAGATACAGAAATAATGCAGTATGCTTCCTGAAATATCTGCATTGATTGCCACTTTATTTGGAAAGCCTAATTAAAGTTATTGATATTAATCTTTAAAGCTTAGAAATCTTAAGTTCTGACTGTTTGTATTACAAACATGTCTGAGTGTTAAGATTTGTAAGACAGACAGCCTTCTGAAGATGCCTCCACTGTCAGAGGCTCAGTAATTCAACACATGGAAAAGAGTCATTTGCTTTGTTCCAAGCTATAGAATGAGCTTCCTGTAGAATAGGAGCCAACAGGCATCTCTTTCACTGGGGTTTTAATTAATTTTAATGTAATCATTTTATTTGTTTAAACAATTTGTATGGCTACCCATCTCACAGGAGTGATTTTGGGCAGCATTCAAAGAATTAACCTCCCTCCCCCAAATAGAATTTTTAAAAAATCAACTATCCACATAACATATGGAGTTGAGAAAAGAATAATTCCCAATCTATAAACAGAAAAAAAACCAATAACCTCCTGGCCCAAATGCCTTTGGGAGAAATCAGGTCTTTAGTGTCTTGCAAAAGGCTGATGTGTTTGGGGCCATCTATGTTCTGTAGAGCAGGCACTGTGACAGAGAAAGCATGACTCCTAGATCCACCAAAATTCACAGCTTGATAGCAGGGACTGGAAACTTGCCCAGCCTGTTGGTTCTGTTCGAGTGAGCAAAAACAATAGGAGACGGGCAATCTCATATATAGTCTGGCTTGATGCTATGTAGGGTTTTATAGGTAATAATGAGCAATTTAAAAAGCACCTGGAAGCCCACATGAAACCAATAAAGCATGAAGAATAACAGTTTTATAGAAGTGTATCAGCCATTTGTCCAAAATGGTATAGGGTTTCCTGCCTGAGCAGGGGGTTGGACTAGATGACCTCCAAGGTCCCTTCCAACTTTATCATCATCATTATTATTATTAATGTTCCCCAGGCTGCTGTATTCTGGAGCAGTTGCAGTTTTCAGATATTCTTTAAGGGCAGCCCCATTATAATAAATTAAAGAGGAGGTAATTAAGGCATTGATTACCATAAGGCTTTCCAATTGGCATATAAGCTAAACCTGTCATAGGGGCTCCTGTCATAGTTGCCACCTGTTCTTTGAGCAAGAGTTGTGAGCATAGAAAAACCTGCAGGTTTTGTATCACTTGTGTCTTGGGGAGCGTAACCCCATTCAGAGTCAAACATGGAAAAAATCCAAACCTATACTTGGTCTTGGCAGAACTGAGTGGAAGCCCATTCTCCCTCTCATCCAAACTCTCAGAGCCTCCAGTTTCTGGGAAAGAACCACAGGAATATCAACCTGTTGGTCTAGATAAGATCTGCATTCCTTGCACAGTGAAAAATACTGCAGTGGAATACAAGAGTATAAACAAAATTATAATATGTAGTAATGATAGTAAACATGTTTATTGATCATGACATCTAAGATATCCTGATTACTACAGGTTGGAATCAGAGATTTGTATCTGGTCCTCACTGCATAGAGATTTCATATAATTGAAAAAGCAGAAATACATATATTTAGAAATTCTGTTGCCTTTTCCATTATCCATCAGATATTCCATTATCCATCAAATGCACTGTTAGGTACAATTGCCTCTTTTGAATCAAGTTTGTACATCTGGCATTTCCCATTCTTGACCACTTTCTTACTAGCTTGTGAAATAAATACAATTGTTTGGCAGTGTGAACTTTCTTTAGCACTGCCTTTTTTGTATTGGAATATAAATTGATCATTTCCAGTCTCTTGGCCACTGCTGTGTTTCCTTCCTTCCTTCCAGACAAGTAGCATGTTAACTGCCTAAGTTTTCAAACCATTCTGCTGGTATTTCATCAGCTCCTGCAGCTTTATTGTTAGCAATATTTTCTAGGGCCCATTTAACTTCACTTTCCAGAATGTCTGGTTCTAGTTCAATGAACAAGTCTTGGTGTGTATCATAGAATTTGGGACTGTTTTTTGCACAGTTCTTCCATATAATCACACTATTGCTCTTTTATATCTTCTTTCTTCAGTAGAACTTTGTTTTCTTTTATGTTCCTATCTTTTCATAAAAATTCCTTTAATTTTAATAATTTTCTTAAATAAACATCCAGTTTTTCCCATTTGATTGCTACCCTGGGTTTTATGAATATCTTATTTAGATATAACTCCTTGCCTTTTTTTCTTCTTCACCAGAATTCCAGATCTACTTTGACAAATTTTCTATCTCTGTTACCTTTTGCTTTCAACTTTTCTTCTATTTTTAATGTATCTATAACAGCCACGTGGGTTTCTTTTGATTTTTGCACTTCTCTTTAATACAGTAAGATATCATAAATTTCAATTCAGAGTACAGGTAGCCCTCAACTTACAAGCACAATTAAACCCAGAATTTCTGTTGTTAAGTGAAACATTTGTTAAGTGAATCTTGCCCCACTTTATGACCTTTCTTGCCACAGTTGTTAAGTGAATCACTGCAGTTGATAAGTCAGTAACCCAGTTGTTAAGTGAATCTGGCTACTGACTTTGCTTGTCAGAAGACTGCAAAAGGTGATCACATGACCTTGAGACACAGCAATGGTCAGAAATATGAACCAATTGCCAAGCATCTGAATTTTGATCACATGATCATGGGAATGCTACAAAGGTTTTAACTGTGAAAAATGGTCATAATCACTTTTTTCAGTACCGTTGTAATTTTGAATGATCACTAAATGAACTGTTGTAAATCAAGACTATCTGTACTCCAGGCTGTATTATTTATCAAATTTAATCCACTCGATCTTGCAATAATTCTTAAATAATCTCTGG